TCTCTCCCTTCCCATCCCTCCCTCCGTCTCCTGCACTCTCTCACAATACAAATACCCCAAACTCTTTAAAACCAGGACTTTTCTAATGGGAGCTGGATGAGATCACCTGTCAGGACCCGGACGGTGTGGAGATCTGGCGCTTAAGCTGCCATGGGACATCACCTCTGTTGGCCACAGAACCACTAAAGACTCATTTTGTCACCACCAACGCAGAGCCAAAAGGTGCTCTCTGTGCTCCTTATAGCCCGTGTGCACACTGTGTGGAGCTTCTCTTACTCTACCAACCACAAGCCTGTGAACTTGCCTCCACCGCTCTACTGAAAAGGTCCAGGGGACAATCAGGGGACTTGGCAACTCATTCCAAAGGATGGGTTAGCAGGCACCCCAGGATGAAGTGCAAATCCTAGGCCACTACTCCATCAGTCCCATGTTTTCCAGGATAGAATCATCTAAAAGGTCAGAGACAGGGATGGGAAAAAACAGGAAAGGAGAAAGCACTGCTGAATGCAGGCGACAGGAGGCAAAACGGGTTTCCTGAGACTGTCCCAGAGATGGCAGTAGGCAGGGCAGGGCCGGGGTTCTTTTCTGGGGGTGGGGGTGGGGGGAGAATGCTGGCCTTGTCAGCCCTGGCCCCAGCGCACCTGGCTAAGCTTGGTTACATGGTGGTTTCTCAGAAGAGAGACCACATCCCATGCAGGACTACTGTTCTTTTTATCCACAAAATTCTTTATTTCAGTTTTGAAAACCTCATGCATGAGAACTGTATCAGGGGAGATAGAGTGGAGTGTAAATGAGGACTGGTATTCTTAGAGGGGTGGGAAGGAACAGTTTCCACCCCGTTGCTGTACCTCATCCCCCACCAAAAGAGAACATAGGACAAAATGACTTAATGTGCAACAGCTGTCACCGAGGATAGGCGGGGACAAAAGCAGGGGCACAAAGTCTGCTCTGGCTGGAGAGCAGAGGTCCTCAACTTGTGGGATACTGACATTAAAGTTCATTTAAAATTCATAGCAGTAACCAATTTACAGGTATGAAGTGGCCACGAAATAATTTGTACAGCTGGGGTACCACAACATGAGGAACTGCATGCATTAAAGGGTCGCAGCAGGAGGAAGTCTGAGGTCCACTCTGCAGAGTGACTGGAAGGGAGCAGGGTCCACGGGTAGTAGCCTGGCCTCTTCGGCAGGGGTGCTGGGTTCAACCTGTGAGGCAGAGCACAGTCAGGCCAGCCCTGGCTTCCTGAGCAGCCAGGAATGTGGGAAGGGCAGTGGGAGGCAGAACACTCACGTCAAAGATCCTGTGCACAGCAGAACACTCCCTTCAGAGAGCCTCGAACTTTTCATTGAGGGCCTGCATGAAGGCTGAAACACAGGTTCAAATGGGTATTCCAGACCCAGACACACAGGAACGGACCCGCCTGACCCCTTCTCTGTGCCCCAGGAACTTCCAGCCAGCCACCTCACTGCCCTCCAGCCACCATGCAAGGAGCCTGGGGACAGACTCCCCCACCCATCACCGAGCTCTATGTGGGAGCGTTTTTCTACAGGAGAACAGCAAGGACAGGCAGTCCTCAAACGCTGGGCCACAGCACTGCCAGCCCTACTTGTGAAACCAGCAAACATGTGACAACAAACACTTCGCAAGCCACACCCGCCAGGACCTCAAGGGAAACTACAGCGGGACTGTCTAAATGCCTAGAGAGAAGGGAAGCTGGGGGACTCATCTGCACCGCACACGGGAGAGCACTGGCTCTGGGTGCAAGTCCCTGCAGTCAATGCACAGAGGCCCCCAGTCTGGCCTGCTTGAGGTCACCTCCCACCAGAGAACAGCCCCTCAGCCCACCCCAATCACCTGCACCCAAACACTGAGTTCTCCCTCCGGCCCTCTCCCCATTGCTTCCCTGCCCTGGCTCGGTCATACCTAGTTGTTCCTTGAGTTCCTCTATTTCCTTCTGTAACATCAGGCACTAGCCCAGCAGATGGGAGAAAAAGAGAGAAAGATTAGCATTCAATGTCCTGGCCTTCTGTCTGCTCCATTCACATGTCTTCCTAGTGTTTACACCTCTCACTGGTCACAGTCCTGTGAGGAGACTGGCAAAGAACCTCAAACATGAAGGAGGTGTCCTCTCTCTGTGGAGTGTGGGACAGGTGTTGGCACAGAATGTGAGCTGTCAGCTCAGGGGCTACCTGGGGCTGGCATTTCTGAGCTGAGAAAGTCTTTCTTACCTGTTGGCAAGCCTGTGTTCCTGGTGTTTGATATTGCCTCTCTCCCATTGTCAATGGGAGACGTAGGGGTGGTTCCTGGTCACCTGAAAACACGCACACACACAGTCACATGAGAAACAAAAATATAGATTGGATGAGACCTCTAGGCTTGTTATTGTGCAGGGACTGGTGGGTACTAAAATGGGATAGCAACAGCCTCTGCTGGAAGCAATTGTACCTCAACTCTGCCCAGGCTATTCTTCTTTACTCCAGACCAGAGACAGCATAAAGGTGCTGGGAGCCCCTAAGTTTGTGGCCCTGAGCCAATGTTCTCAGGACTACCACCCACAGTTACATTCAGGAAGGAGCACAGTACCTAAGCAGGGTTTAGCAGCAAGAACTCTGGTGCCCTAAAAGTAAGCTTCTGCAGTTAGAGTTGTCCCACGCTTTAGAGTCATGCATCCCACAGGCCTACTCTTTTCTCAGTGTGGCCTAAGGCCAGCCCTGCCCACACTCAGTCTCCTTTGGACTGAAGCGCAAGGAACAAGGCTACAATCACCAAAAGGGACAGAGCCTAAGGTTTCCTTCCTTTCCCCATCCTCCCCTGCTCACCAGCTGCTCTCAAACCCCAAAGACTCACCAGCAGAGGCAGGAGCTCTGAGACGGGCACTTCTCTGCCTCAAGACCTGAGAGCTTCCTGGAACCTGGGGTGCTCGGAGGTTGGGGTCTCCACTGCTCATTTCTCCACGATGCATGAACATGCAGGGTTGCTCTGCCCTGTGTGTTGGAAGCTGACACAAAAATTTCTCAGTGAGTACATGTCGTGGAGGGGCTGAGGGGCAAGTGGGAGAAAAAAATGGAGGCTTGTGAGGCTCATCCCATCTGCACCTCCTCTTCCTCCTTCAGCCTCAGGGCAAGAGGCAGGAAAGGAGCCCCCAGGCACTGAAAAGGCTCAGATCCTGGCCTGGCTTCCTTGGGGAAGAGCCAGGAGGGAGGATCAGGAGGCCCTTGGGTCTGACTACAGCCAAGCTGTGCAGCCCACACTGGAAAGGCTCTCTGGATCCAAATCACCCAGACTGTAGCCAGGCCTGCTTCCCACCCTGCCTGGCTAGAGAGAGGAGATGCACAGGGAGGGAACAGTCGCCAACACCTAACTGAGGCTCCCTCATATCCACCCTTCCTTATGACCAGGACCCCACACCGGACATCCTAATCAGGGCGAGTGCCCACTGACCACCCCCAGGCCAAGGTAGTGGCAGACGGAACAGGGCAGCGGTCTGTGCTGGGGAGGGAAAGGGCGGGGTGAGAGGGGACAGAGGTGCTCTACTCACTTGAGCCTGCAGGCCAGAATCTCTGGTGGAGTCATCATCTTCTTTGGCTCCTGGCTGGGATTCCTTTGTCTTCTTCGCCAGGGATTTCTTCCCAGTGCAGAAGGGCTTGCACTCTTTGGGCCCCGAAGGCAGTGAGCCTTTACTGCCCTTCCCTAGCAGGGCAACCCCGGAGATTGGGGGGAAAGTGGCTGGTTCCACAGGAGCTGACTTGAGTCTCTGTCCCCATGCTGGGAAGGTTCTTCCCAGAGGTCCTCTCGAGGCATCCCACTGAATAGGCTTCTCCTGTGCTGCCTTCTTTCTAGGACTGGTCTTGGGAATGGCACCTGAAGCAGTGGCAGCAGGGGCAGGGACCACAGCAGAGATGGCAGTAGCAGAGGAAGCAGCAGTTCCTGGGATGCTGTGTCTGCTCCCTTCTTTGCCCCAGACCACACTTTGCTTTTTCTTAGACAGGGAGCCTTTCAGCTCTCCTGAAGCCTGCTTCTCCATGCTTGAGCTGAGTGTCCGGGTAGCACTGGACAGTACAGAGGGGGGCACATGGACGAAACTTTCCCTGCCATGGACAGTCGTGTGTCTGCCTGTGTCTTCCAGCTCAGTGAGGCCACTGGACTTGCCTTGGCCTCCTTCTTTGAGGCAAATGGTCACCCTCATCATTTGTGTCTCACTGGCCTCATCAGAAGACTCAGGATCGGAGGACAGATAATGAATATCCTCACTGGCTATTATCCTGCTTTTGGCACCTCTTCTTGGTGTCACCCAGGACCTGCCCCGCCCCAGTTCCCTGGAGTGCAGTTGGCTAGCTGAGAGCTGCTTCCCTTCCATAGAGGTCGGAGGTCGCAAGCCTCTCCTGCTTGTGCCTGTGTCTGTGTCTCCCCAAATACCAAAGGGATCAGAAGCGCAGCTTCTGGGGGACGGATGTCTGCGGACACCCCAGGCCTCCCGGTTGTCTACATACTGTCCGAAGCTTGTACCCTCTACTGTCAGCTGCGGTGCAAAGTCCAAATTGTCCCCTCTCTCATCCACGGGAGTGCCAGGCCGACCTTCGCAGCCCCAAATGACTGACCTGCCCTCCATCTCATCACTGTCTAACCAGGAGTCATACTGGAAAGTCTTGGAGACAGGGAAACCCATTTTGTCCTCTCTGCTCTGGAACAGCCTCTCGTCGGAGCCGAAGCCATGTCCCCTCAGGAATCCATGGCTAAAGCGGCGTCCTTCCACGTGCTCCCCACTTTCCGGCCCAAAACCGCCTCCCCGCACAGACATATCATCAGGAGAGCTCATGTTTGCAGCCCAGCAGGCGCCATCTGAGGGGATATGGCCACCAGCTCTCTGCATCTTCAGCGGCGATCCCTCGGCGGCGGAGATGCCTTCGGTGGCGAAGGGAACCGCCACCGCCACTGGCGCTACGCGCGTCTCTTTGAAACAACGCGAGACTTCGCGCATCCTCCCCCCCCCCCCCGCCCGTCTCATTGGTCGGCCACTCAGCCAACCACCAACCAGAGTGGCCGTTGTTTGGCTGGTATCCAGGGCCCTAGCCAATAGAGACGAGGGTGCATACTTTGCCGCGTTAAGAGTCGGGCTTTCGCGCCTGAGTGTGAGGAAATTTCGAGACTTCGACGTCGAGCTCAGTCACTTGGCCTCTGACATAACCGCTTGCGGCGCCCCGTGGTGAAAGACCTCACTTTCTCTGTGGTGAGTGGGGGAGAGCATCTTCCCTCAGGCCGTGCCGCCTCTCCTGGCGACATGAGCTCCCGGGATGAGGATAAGGTGTCCGCTCCTGAAGCCACCTTGGGGCAGGAGGGCAGGGAACGCTTAGAGGACCCCCTGATCAGTCTCGGAGTTGCAGAGGGCTCGAGCCTCATCAAAGGGCCTCTGAAGATCGGAGAGGGAGAGGGCGGTCTCCCTGGGACTGATAGCTGCGAGGAGGAGCCTTGGCCTAAGTCGGAAGCAACAAAGGAAGGAGAAAGGCTGCTTAGTGAGCCAGAAGGCAGGGCTGCTTCTCCCGTGGACCAAGAAGATGTCGGCGTGGACTTCCTGCCCCAGCTCAGTATTGAGGCTACAGCGATAATGCGAGAGCTGTCCAACCTACAGACGCGAAGAGTTTCCAGGTACCTGTCCCCACAAACCTGCGCCGCTGAACTGGCCGCTGAACTGGCCGCCCTTTGGGGAAGTGTAGATGACAGCTCCAGCAGACGGGGGCAGGCCCTGAGCAGTGTTGAAGGGAAGCAGGTCTCGGCTAGCCCACTGTACCCCCGGGGCCTTGGGAGAAACAGAGCCTGGGTGGCCCCGAGAAGAGGTGTCACAAGTAGGATGTTGAGCAGTGAAAGTATTCAGTGTCCCTCCTCATACCCTACATCTTCTGATGAGGCCAGTGAGACACAGATGATGAGGGTGACCATTTGCCTCAAAGAAGGAGGCCAAGGCAAGTCCAGTGGCCTCACTGAGCTGGAAGACACAGGCAGACACACGACTGTCCATGGCAGGGAAAGTTTCGTCCATGTGCCCCCCTCTGTACTGTCCAGTGCTACCCGGACACTCAGCTCAAGCATGGAGAAGCAGGCTTCAGGAGAGCTGAAAGGCTCCCTGTCTAAGAAAAAGCAAAGTGTGGTCTGGGGCAAAGAAGGGAGCAGACACAGCATCCCAGGAACTGCTGCTTCCTCTGCTACTGCCATCTCTGCTGTGGTCCCTGCCCCTGCTGCCACTGCTTCAGGTGCCATTCCCAAGACCAGTCCTAGAAAGAAGGCAGCACAGGAGAAGCCTCAGAAGCAAGCCCATGAGAAGTCTTTGTTAGATCCCTCAAGAGGGCCCCTGGGAAGAACCTTCCCAGCATGGGGACAGAGACTCAAATCAGCTCCTGTAGGACCATCCACCCTCCCCCCAATCTCCGGGGTTGCCCTGCTAGGGAAGGGCAGTAAAGGCTCACTGCCTTCGGGGCCCAAAGAGTGCAAGCCCTTCTGCACTGGGAAGAAATCCCTGGCGAAGAAGACAAAGGAATCCCAGCTAGGAGCCAAAGAAGATGATGACTCCACCAGAGATTCTGGCCTGCAGGCTCAAGTGAGTAGAGCACCTCTGTCCCCTCTCACCCCGCCCTTTCCCTCCCCAGCACAGACCGCTGCCCTGTTCCGTCTGCCACTACCTTGGCCTGGGGGTGGTCAGTGGGCACTCGCCCTGATTAGGATGTCCGGTGTGGGGTCCTGGTCATAAGGAAGGGTGGATATGAGGGAGCCTCAGTTAGGTGTTGGCGACTGTTCCCTCCCTGTGCATCTCCTCTCTCTAGCCAGGCAGGGTGGGAAGCAGGCCTGGCTACAGTCTGGGTGATTTGGATCCAGAGAGCCTTTCCAGTGTGGGCTGCACAGCTTGGCTGTAGTCAGACCCAAGGGCCTCCTGATCCTCCCTCCTGGCTCTTCTCCAAGGAAGCCAGGCCAGGATCTGAGCCTTTTCAGTGCCTGGGGGCTCCTTTCCTGCCTCTTGCCCTGAGGCTGAAGGAGGAAGAGGAGGTGCAGATGGGATGAGCCTCACAAGCCTCCATTTTTTTTCTCCCACTTGCCCCTCAGCCCCTCCACGACATGTACTCACTGAGAAATTTTTGTGTCAGCTTCCAACACACAGGGCAGAGCAACCCTGCATGTTCATGCATCGTGGAGAAATGAGCAGTGGAGACCCCAACCGAGCACCCCAGGTTCCAGGAAGCTCTCAGGTCTTGAGGCAGAGAAGTGCCCGTCTCAGAGCTCCTGCCTCTGCTGGTGAGTCTTTGGGGTTTGAGAGCAGCAGGTGAGGGGAAATATCAAGGCTCTCCTCCTTTGGGAGATTGTAGCCTTGGGCTTTCCTGTCTAGGTAGACAGTGGGTGACAGGAGACTGGGTGTGGGTGGGTGTGGCCTCAGGCCACACTGAGAAAAGAGTAGGACTATAGGATTCAGGACTTTAAAGCATATGACAACAGCAAATCCAGAGGTGGGCTTTTAGCACACCAGAGTTTTTGCTGGTAAATCCTGCTAAGGCATTCTCCTCATCCCACATTCTGTATTTCACTAGCAGTCCTAATAGGGGTACACAGAGCCTCGGGGTTGCTTAGGAGCTAAAAGAAATAGAAAGGCTTAAAGCTTGGTGGAAGTGATATCCCAACATACACACGTGGGGACCAGCACAGGGTGATGTTGTCTCATTTCAGATTTCACCAGTTCCTTCCCACATGGACGCCAAGCCTTGAAGCTGCATAATACATTTATATTCTTTTTTTCGTTTCAGCTGAACAGGATCCAACTCTGGATCCTTTACTACCTGTTAGAGAGAGTCAGCCAGAATTAGTACAAGGCACACCAGGATGTCCGCAGGTAAGGTATTCACAAAACTAAATGCCAGCCCCAGGTAGCCCCTGAGCTGACAGCTCACATTCTGTGCCAACGCCTGTCCCACACTCCACAGAGAGAGGACACCTCCTTCATGTTTGAGGTTCTTTGCCAGTCTCCTCACAGGACTGTGACCAGTGAGAGGTGTAAAC